GAATTTTTCCAGAATGTATTTCATTAAAAAAAAAAAAAAAAAGGCAAAGAGCATAAGAAAGGACTGCCACTCTGACTCTCATCCTTCCCAGTTCATCCTTTCTCAAAAGCTTTGGCTTCACTGTGCCCCGACTTGTTCCGGGGTTCCGCCCGAAGCGAGCCGAGCAGAGCTTGTCCCACCAGCGCGTGGACCTGGCAAGCGGGGCCGCGAGTGGCCAGAGGGCTGTGTTGGCAGAGAAGTGTGGCAGGGGCCAGTGACAAGCTGAGTTCCGGGCTGGCACGGACGGGGGTCTCGATGCGGCTGCGGCGGGTCCCTCCTCAAACTCCAGCAGAGCCTCAGTGACAATGACCCACAAGTGGAGACACATTGAGGACAACACAGGTACTAGTGGGCATGGGGTTTTTATTCTCAGTGCACGGCAGTACTGGTTTCTGCTCATCAGCAACAAGCTTTATTGGTTCCAAAAAAAAAAAATATCCCTTTTTTCCCCATCTTTTCAAACTCCTCTTCTTCCCGTCTCAGTGGACAACATATTTGAATTTCAGATTTGCCAGTTTACAGCATTTTTTTTTCCCTACGAACCATATAAATACATGCAAAACATTGTACAGAGAGCTTAAATAATATCAGAATGCAAATACAGATTGGGTGCACCGTTAAGCCGAACTGCAAATTATGGCAACACACACTGGGGTACACATTGCTTGGATATCACCATGTTTGTTTATGTCATGCAGACCACAACAGTCAATCTTTTGTTTTGTTTTTCTTTTTTATACAAAAATACCAGTGCTTGTTATACTAGTTACTGAAAAAAAAAAAAAAAAGAAAGAAAGAAACTCCAAATTCCTACCTGCGTGCTGATTTTGAAAAGGACAACGTAGATAGATCTGTTGGCACATAGAGATACGGCATATTCACATATGGCCTATATACAGATGGGGAGCAAACACGAACCAAAGGCCAGTTCGGTCACGGGGAGCTCACTTGCCTCCGTCTCTCTTCAGCAAGAGGAAAGGGGACAGCAGGCCTGACAGCAGGGCTTGGGAGGCAAAGCACTGGCACTAGCTACATGGAAGGGCATCTGGTCTATTCTGAGGAAAAGGCTAGAATGGCTTCAGAATAGCAGCCATTTACAAGTGCCTTGTCCCCACCGCTGCTGTAGGTGGTCCCTAGATATGGAGAGTGAGGAAGTGTGCACTTTGTGATGGTATTACGGGATGCTTCGATCGATCGTGAGGCAAAGAAAGCAGGAGAGAAAGGAGGTGAGGCATTTCGAGGTTGCATGCGGACTTGCCCCTACCCCCGCCGGGTTTTCGGTTTTCGGCAGTGAGGTAATCGCTCAGATAGACCTGTGCGAACTCTCCCCTCTGAAGCTCGAGTGGAAGAAGAAACCCAGACCCTACAGAACCCACAAGTGTCAGAAGCATTGCGAGGTGGTCTCTCTGACACCTTTAGGGATGGGGGAGTCATCACTTCAGAGAGCAGAGGGCACCTCTGGGAAGGACCTGGCCCCAAGGCGGTCACCCCGCGTTAGGACCGGCCTTTGTGACTTCCACTTAGAACTCTCTCCCCCATCTCATATATCGCACACAACCTTTCTAGGAGAGGGGAAGTCCCAAATCAGAGCTTTGCACAAAAGCTCACTAATGGAAAACTCCCAGGGTGAAGAAGAACCCATAAAACGTGGGTGAAAGAACCATAAAATAGGCAAAGCCCCAATCAGAGTACCCTTGCAGCCCGAGAGATATTCATGCCTTGGGTACTACTCTACCAGCTACTCCTCAAAAAACAACATCCAGCCAAGGCCCCCTGACCCTGAACACTAGTTACTAAAAGGCCTGGCACCCAACTCCATGGGCGATGCACACTCCTTTCTCACTGGCTGCTTTCCTTCCCATCCACAGGCCACTGCCCACTTTCCTAGGTTTCTCTAGGAGAATTATTTCCCCTTCTCCCCATCAGACCCTTTTCAGATCGAAAGCACCATATGGGGGGAAAGCTCTATTACCTTACGCCATATTTACTCACTGCCAGTTGGATCACTAAAACTGAATAGAAAAAAACTTATATAAAAAACATATGCACATAAACACTTAAACTTACTCAATTCCATATCAACAAAATTTATATTAAAAAAGTCTAGAACCCAACACATTTTTTTTCCCCCTAAGTATAAAGATGGCTGTTTGGAGAAAGGAAGTACGGTGCATTGGTTTTACAACCAGTCACAAATACGCTAAGTTGCCTGTCACGTACAACAGCTGGTTATATGCTCCTTCCACAGGGTAACACGACAGCACTTTATTTCAAAACCTTTAAACAAAATACATATGGCTGACTCAAAAATATCTGTTTCTGAGCTAAAGAAAACTATATATTTTTGCATAATATTCTCTATTTTCTCTCCTACCATGGAAACTAAAAGACACACAAAAGCCATTGACTTTAAACAAGTAGACACAAGCCCTCAAGAGTAACCCGTCTGGCACCACGAGAGTCTTCTGGGAACAGGAACGGTGCGATAGGCTCCGACGTTTGTTATTGGCTTGTTTTTTAAACTGATCTGAGGTAATAAAAGACTTGACAGAACGAAATCTTCCGATGTACTTAATAAATATATATGTGCACACCTAACACCTTGGGTGAGCTGTTTTATTCCCACATGAGGATTTAAGACAGAGAAAAGATTGCTGAAGCATGTGACCTTTACAAAGCCCAAGTCAAATCTGGCGGGTTGTGCAACAGTGGGGACGTGGTGGGGGTGTTGTGTCTTTGCTCTTCCTACCTCAGGACAGCTCAGGAGGAAGGGGGGAGCGAGGAGGGAGCCCCAGGAGAGGGCCGGAGAGCATAGGTTCCGGCCACCTTACGCTCACAAGTGGAAGTCTGGCAGGTTCGGAAGAGCCTCAGGCCCCACCCCCACACCGCCATCACTCTTGAAACAGGGGGACGGGCTTCATTTCTTTCATGGGAATTGGTAGACGTGAGTTAACGAGCCCCTGCACAGAAGAGCTTATGTCAACACCAGCAGGGATAAAAATGGAGCTCCTGCAAACGTGGCTCCACCTTGTCCCATTAAGGAACACTTAAAAAAAATCTCCTAGTGAGGTCCCTACCTCCTGAGAGGCAGACGGGAGGGGGATGCTTTGGGCAGCGTTCAGGGAAGGAAGGCACAGGGCTTCATGTGCAGCAGTTGAACACGTTCTGGAGAGGGCCTCGAGGGGGGCGCGTGGGAGCAAAGGAAGAGAGGAAGGAGAACTTTCCAGGGTGGGTCTTTTGCTCCTTTAAGTCAGCAAAATGTCACTGGACCCCACTTTGGGATGGGTACTTTCAAAAGTGGAATATGCGAGAGAGGTTGGGGCCTGTTGAGACCAGACGAGTTAGGGGCCACGACAGAGCAGAATGAGAAAGCTGAGGGGTATGTCAAAGCTGGTACCTGGGCGCCTAAGCTCAAGGGGTCTGGTTTCTCAGAACCTGCTAGAATGGCCCTTCTGCCTCTCCCGTCTTCTCAGTACGCACTCCCGCACCAAGCAGGTCCGGTTCTAGAAGCGCTGTGGCGGAAGGCTTTAAAAGCAGGAGTGGTCAACCCAAGGGAAGATGGTACAAGAGTTGGCTCTGATGGTCTGTCTTGTCGTGGACCTGCCAGCTGCGGGTCCTCAATATCCCAGTCCAGTTAGGAGGCAGGGCCGTTCTCAACCCCTTCTTTTGCCACCACTTTAGGAATAGGAGAAAGCTCAGGCTTATGGGAAAAACTATTTAACAAACATATGCGAGCTTCACGGTCAAAGCTGATCTCCCTGGCACTTAGAAAGGACACACACCTGACAAGATGGCAGTTCAGAAGGGGAAGGTAACCTGGCAACAACAGAAATACATTCTTACCAGCTCTCGATTGCTTCAAGAGGATCCCATTAGCTAAGAAACCTATCTGCCTCTAGGACTAAGCCAAGGATTCCATTGGGGCCAGAAGGGGGAATGGCCAAAGTTGACTCAATTCAGCCAAGTCCATTCCACTTTCTTAATCATCACAACTTAAAAAAAAAAAAAAAAGAAAAGAAGAAAGAAAAAAAGAACAAGAAAGAGTGAAGGTAAGGGAGACAGTGGTCACAAAAGACCAACAGAACCTTAGGGAGGTTTGACTAGAAGGGCAGAAAGAGCTAGAGGGCTTTAGGTGTAAGTTTTGAAAATGGGGAAGTCATTTCAAAAACACTCACTCTATGGGGCTGATTCTATACATTCCATTCTTCCCTCAACACATTGCATTTGGGGACATTTGTCTCTCGGAACCCTCGACTTAGCTTACAAATGGCACAGACTCATAGGGTAAAAATCAGAGGTCAGGAGATGGTGACATACGTATGTACACTGAGGAGAGTCTGGGTTGGGGTAGATGCCAAGAGGATTGTCATCATTTCTTTAAAAATGACAACTGATACACCCAAGGAGTAGATCCTACCATTCATTACCTGCCTGGGGTTTGACTGGGTCCTGCTACAAACCCCAGCTCAAGTTTAAGTCGACATCCTCGTAGGTCTGTGCTCTTGCCTCTTCATGGTCAGGTGGGGGTTCACACGTACTTGGGAGCAGCTGACATGACAGTGAAAAGTCCCCATCGTCACCTTACTGATGGGACAGATGAAAAAGGACATGGGGAAAGCGGGATGGGAGTCAGAGAATGAAGTTCAAACAGATGTCTCCAGGCTGTGCAGAGGGCTCTCTGAACAGGAGGCAACAATTTGCACTTGGCTGCAGTCCACCGCGTTGTTGTTTTTGTTGGCGTATGGCGTGACCTCACCATCCAACAGGAGCACCCCAGTCCCAGCCTTAGGACTGTCAAGATTTTCCTCCTTATGCTCATCCAGGAGTGGTGTCCGTGGCACCTCCTCATCTATGGCGAATTCAGGGTGGGTCATGAAGTTGTGGATGGAGTTTTGGTTCTTGGGTTTCTGAATGCTTTCGTGGAGGGAACTATGGAATGCTTTGACCACTTTGATCTATACCGGGGGGAAGGAAAGGGAGGATAAGAAAACACGAAGGTGAGAACGGACCAGTAGAACAAGGCACTGGTGGTTTGAGGAGAGAAACAAAACTCCAACTACAAAACACTACCGCGCAGCAGCCGAAACCAAACACATAAGAAGAGATTATGGAACGCCAGAAACATCAAATTTCAAGCATGGGGGTGGGGTGGGGTGAGTAATGGCAAACAACTGAATATTTCAAAGCTGCAGTAAAAAAAAAAAAAAAAAAAGGTAGAAAACCCAAAGCAAAGTTAGCATTCCCAAACAATCCATTCTTAAAATGAAACAGAAAACAAGGATTCATTAGTTCTTTTGGATGAGGGCAAGAACATTGGAACCAGGTGCAAATTAATAGCCGAACTTAAAAGATGATTCAGACATGTGGCTTTCTGTGTCGAGGCCAAACATTTTGTGAACGTGGAATGGAAAAGTTACACATTGAAGTTTAGTTATCTGCTTAAAACCCTTAAAGAGTCAAACTCATACCAGTCCGTACATAATACACTTTGGGTGATAAGTGGCTATGGATACCGTGCAGCAAGGCAGACAAAGCACTCTTCATTTGTGTCAGCAGCATGCAAGAAATTAAAATTCTTATACTCTCCAGTTGAATAATTGCTCTTTCAGTCAGGAAACATGCACACATTTCTATCCCACAACCTCTGCCATGTCCCCTGCCCCCCCAAGAAAGTGGAACTCCACTCCTTCCGTCCCTCCCCTGGCAGATGGGGCTGAAACATGGGTATGAGAAGATGCCTTCCTCCTGACCACGGAGAGAAGAGCTGGCTCTCCCAGTTCAAGTGCATGTCCATGCCTCTGGTGCATAATACCTGTGCCCCAGCCTGCGGCTTTCTCCAGCTGTTTCTTGGGTTTTGGGGGGCATGACCTTATGTGGAGAAGGGAAGGGATGGGACCAGGAGAGAAACCACCCGGTTGGAGGCCGTGCTATAGACAAGTGGCTTTTCTGATGAGGCGGATGAAGAAGATGGAGGAATGGAAACACCACGCGGCTTTAGTGGGCAGAGGGAAACGCACTGCCCCGTTAAGTGTCAAAGTCTCTTTCTACCACACAAAAAAGGAAGGGATTCAGTCAATTGGGAGAAAAGGAAAAAAATAAACAACAACTGATTCCTGTGGTCAGCCTTTGCCTCATCCATGGGTCCCCGCTCTTTTGGCAGCCTGCTTTTCTGAACGGTAGGCCTCTCTGAAGTATGGCTTAGAACCTGGGTTGGCAGAATTGGGGTTGGGGCAGTAGGTTGGATCCTGAGACGGTGGGAGAGAGAGGCCAAGGGAGAGGAAAGTGGCTGGAGGATGGTTTTGGTGGTGGGGAGGTGGCTGAGCCTAGTCTTGTCCAAAAATCGTTCCCTCAGGAAAGAAATGAGGCTACTGCCGGAGAGACCGGTGTGGTAGGAGGGGCAAGGGAGGGAGGCTGAGTGGTGGCCTAGGGCCCCTCTTCCATGCCTCTGTTGTTTCAGCAAAGAATAGGTCCCTAGGGAAGAGGCAAGAATGTGCAGACAAAGGAGACATAAAGAGTCGGGCAATGCTATTACTAGACAGACCCTTCAAGACTAACACATGAAGAGGATTCACTGAAGCTGTGTCTTCGCTGGCTAAGGCTTTCCTTATCTTGCCTCACGCCACAACAGCTTGCCCACCCAGGACTGCGGGTGCCCAGAGCTTAGAAGGCAAAGGACTCTCTGCTGCTCGGTAGAATCGGCTCCACACTTCGGCCAAGAAGAAGCAAGGAACCTGGGCACACATTCGCCATGCTGAACAGAAGGTAAGGACCTACGTTTCCATCCTTCTCTGACTGCTGTTGACAATCTGATGGGTGAATTTTACCTGTCATGTTCTCTTTGCTCCAGACCTAGGTGAGATCAGATGGAACAGAGGCTCCATTTGGTCTTCCAGAGGCCCCCAAGCTTTAACTGATCTCCGTCAAATCTGAGAGCAAGGCACCTTGGATGAAGTGAGTCCAAACCCAGTGCCTTCTCCCTGGTCAAGAGATGGGTTCAAAGCCATACCACCCCCGGTAAGGAGGGATGACATAGCCCACACTTTTCACCTGCTCTTGAGATTTCCAAGTTTTTAACAAGTGCTGCAGAAGAAGAGGTACCTTTTCACACCACCAGTTGGTTATCTTCAATATCAGTGATTTTCAAACTTCTTGCTTCTATTTATTTTTGAAGCAACTGAATACTTAATGAAAATAATTATATGTGAAATCCAATAGAAAACAGATTTTTAAAAATTGGGGTTAGAGCCAGGGTCTGGAGCCCTGTTTTCTGGCTTTTCCTCTCACCTGTTGGGGTGATCAATAACACTGTTACAGGCAAACAATAAGGGAGATAAAAGTGAATTGGAATGGGTAGATGGAAACAATAGGGAAAATACCTTCTTTGGGGGAGCAAGGAACAGTCATCCGGCTAGACTGCAGGGCTTCTAGAATCTAAAGGGAAACCAGCATCCTGCAAGGGAAGCTTGAAGGAAGAGGAGTCAGGGAACTAGGCGGCACCTCTAGTGGCCTGGTGGGGGAGAGAAGGGGTGGGGGGTGGAGGGCTTGGGGCTGTGCCAGAATGCTGCTCAGCTCCAACAGAGAATATATAACACATGCTGATGAACAGTCACACAGATACATCACCACCAGTCTACCCCAAGCAAAGGTGGCATCCTCCTTCCCTGATGCCTGGTGCGTGAGCAGAGTACGGGGAACAAGACACAGCTAGTGAAGTGGCCACTGTGAAAGCTGTAGGCGTTCTCCATTCAGCCAATCAGCCCTTCCTTCCCCAGTTACTGTCCCCCAAAACCTCTGGGACATGGCTCTTCTGTGGCCCCTGTCCTACACATAGAAGTGGCTGATTGAAGGGCGACTGTTTCTCGTGTCTCAGGAGTCCTTACCAGGCTGGACCTTTCGATTAGGTATGAGGGCTAAGGACCACTCTCTGGAGCTCAGTGAATGGGCAGATGAAGACTCCATTTCTTCAGCTAGATTCTATAGTCTTCTGTTCTCTTTTCAGAAACCAGGGGAAGAGAAGGAATTAAGGGTTTTCCTATAGAGGGAAATCTTAAAGATTTATCTACTGAAGGTTAGACAAGTAACTGAATTCACTTGGAGATCTGGAATGGGGACGGGGGTCCTGAAATGCGTGACTATTTCTTCTAGGACATCTGGGTAAGTAGGAGCAGCTGGAGAGAGCGCGGGTGTGGCTGTCTCCTGACTCAGTTTCTGCCTTTGAGGGTCAGCAGCTTACCCTCTTTTCCATAAGAGCAATTCCATAAGAACCCGATGGGCTCTGTCTTCTGCTTAGTCTCTTTCCACCTTCAAATCATTGGGACAGCTGACACTAGCCCTTCCTCACAGAAAGGCATGAATTAAAAAAGAACAGATACTAGTTAGAAGGACAGGGAAAAAGCCTCTGAAGAAAAAAGGAAATAAGAAAGGAATATGGAAGGACTAGAGGGAGAAGCTCTTAGATTTTTGCAGGGTAAGACTTAACTTAGTTCTTTGACTGCTTTAGGGCCTAAAGAAATATGTATCTACAGAAAACCCCACCCCTCATATCTCACACCAGAATACTTACATTTGGCCACAAAGACAACAAATAATCTGATTCTGGTTAACCTGCACAGCTCACAATCACGTGAACCACAGATAATGCAACTGTTCTTTCTTTACCGTGCCCTCCCTTCTGGGGTTTTGGGGGGATGGGGGAAGAAGAGATAAATAAAATCGTCAAATATCTGAAGCTCACAATAGACTTAATACACGGAGACTTCTTCCCCACCAAATACCTTAATAGCACTATCAGCAAAGAGCCTTCTCTCCTCTCTGTGTCCCCTTTGGGGAAGGTGAAATGACCCGGAATTGTAAGGCATAAGCATTAGCAAGAATCCAACCATCTCCTGATGGGAGCACCAGATCTTAGGTTAAACACTGACAATGTTCCAGCTGATAGGCTGGCCCAGAAAGAGGCACCTAAAACTTCATGTGCAAAATAAGGCGTGAAGGGCTGGCTATGGGTGAGACAGTCAAACTAGAGGAAAGGGGAAGCAAAAGACCAAAACAAAACAAAAGTTGCTCTTCAGAAATTCCTAAAAAGGAAAAAGCTGGAGTGAAGAAAATTAAGTTATTTGGACCTTTGCATATACATTTCTCCTGCCCAGATGTGAATACATTGACTCTTAGACCAGAGCTTGGTTTGCCGTCCCTGAAAAGTGAAACCTCGGGGACACGCAGCCCTGTGCAACTGAACTGAGCTCCTTCTTTTCTTCACGCTCAGCTGCAGCTTCTACGCCAATGTTGCCAGCTCACGACAGGGCGGTAGCCCAGAAGGACTGTTATTATCGGCCAAGTTCAACGTCGGCTCAATGATGAGGGATCTCCTGGTAGAAAAGCCCATGGGAAGGGTAGCTCTCTTCATATTCTCTTTCAGGAGATCTGAAACTTGTCCCCCTTCCCTCCCAGGAAGAGAGGGCTGGGTTTTCATTGGCCCAACCTCGCCTCTAACCTCAGGAGATCAAGTTTAGACTCAAAGGAGCAGGAGAGGAGAGGAGCAACAACATATCCAAACAAAGCAAAACCAACCAACCAACAAACAACTCAAAGTAAAACCAAACAAACAAAAAACTCAAGGAAGAAACAGGCAATGCAGAGGAACGATCAGAAAGCAGGATTATTGTCGTTAAAATGATTATGGTTTAATAGTTTTTCAACATTAAAAAATAAAATAAAATAAAAGGGCACACAGCCTGGTTTGGGATTGGGATTTCTGTCCCGTTTTTCTTCCCTTAAGTCAGAGGTCAAAGGGAAAAACCAAAAGGAAAAGATAACCACAGTTGGTTAAAGTGGATGCCACGGTTTGTTAAAGTGGATGCCACGTGCTCTCTTGTGGTCATTTTAGCAAATCATGCATCATAATAGACTCTCACTCACTGCCCAGAGTAGGAGATGAGACAGCAGCAGGAACAGAAGTGGTGGGGGGAGATGTGACTGGCGCAACTGTTACATAGGATGAGCTAGGAACATGTTTAACATCAAGGTGCTGCCCCATGGTCTGTCGCTTTAGGACTCCCTTAAAAGAGGCTCCCGTCTGGAATGTGTTAATTACGTCGATCTGCAAAGAATCAGAGAGTGAGACAGCTTTGCTGCACAGTCCAGAGAGAGGGGAAGAAACAGGTGGGGGCGGGGATCCTGGAGGGTTAGGGCAGGGGGACGGAAAGTGCTGGGAAAAGGGGATAGGAGCAGGAGCAAGAGAGAAGTTTCCCTCATACACAAAGCAACGGTGAGGAGAAGGGGAAAACCATTAATTGCACAGCCCACTTCCTTTCAAGAACAATTTGCCATGGAGTCCAAATACCCAGCCAGAATCCGGTCTTCTCTTCCCTGGCAGCCTACGGAGGACATTTTAGGTGTGCGGGTGTCCAAAAGTATCTACAATTTAAAGGGACTTCTCTACCCCGTGACCCCTAACAGAGAGTGACAGCTTATTCATTGTGTTGACCTGTAGTCTTAAAAAATAAGGCATGCCATTTAAGATAGAAGGTGGAATATAATATAGTAACTGAATTTTGAGCCTCAGGAACCTCTGAACCAATTAAGTTGACCATCGATTTTTGCAGATTTTGCAGGACAAGAATTCCTGCGTTTTTAAAGAAAAAAAGCGAGGCAGGTAGTAGGCCACACACAGGCGGCTGGGGTGGAAAGGCTCCTAGACCCCAACTGCCGGGCTCACCTGCTTCTGGGTGTCCTGAGACCCTGCTCCTTGGGCTGAAGCAGACAGGGCCCCTGAGAAGGGAGCTCAGGAACCCAGCAGCCAGACTCCTTAGCGAGAATGCCACCGGCACCGGGGCTCCTGAAACGTCTGGCAACGTCTGGCAATAACTCGGTAGCCAGACCGAGGGCGGGGGAGCAAGACGTGCTGGTTGGCGGCGGTGGTCAGCGGCTACAGTCTAGCAAGTGGTCTCTGGTTCTCTGTGTCCTACTTCTCAGACACAGAGGTGATTCGTGCCGTTTGGTTACCAACCACGGCCTTGGTCTGGGGCCTGGGACAAACCTACTGTCCTGATCCCTGACCCCTAAGTGACAAGGAACAAATCAAAAGGAATTCCTCTATCCTTCAGGATCTGGTAGCACCATCTTAAAAAACGCCCACAGGCTTAATAGCAGGGGCTGACTCCATTCATTTCGCTTTGCTTCCCCAGGTGAGAAGGTGACAAAACAGGCACCTTAGGAGACAGACAGTTGTTCTTATTTATAAAGCTTCCTGAGAAGCCGCGGAATGTTTAGGGTTGGTTTCCGGACTCAGACCAAAGTCTGAGCTAAACTACCATCCCTTCGTCACGTTATATAGTTTTTAGTTCCGGGGTACGGAGCGGCCTGATCCCGTGGGAGGGAAGGGGCTGCACATGGGGAGGGGGGACCGCTACGGGGAAGGTACTTTCCTGAGCTTGCTAACGTCACAAGGCCCCCACTTCCACAGTGAAAACTGGGCAGGTCGTGCATCCGAACCCAGAGGTATAGAGTCAAGGGAGTGGGAACTGGGAGTAGAGGGGAAGGGAGATCCATGAAGCTCAGCCCCCCGCGATGGAAGACGGGCGAGGGGCCAAGGAGAAGCCGGAACGAGGGAATCCTGGGCTAGGGAGAAAACAATATCACATAGGAGAAGAGGAGGCAGTGACCCTGAAGGGAGAAAAGCAGACAGGTTATTTGGAAAGGAGCAGACCTGAAGGAAAGCACCGGGGCTTTAGAGACAAGAGCCAGTGGCCTGGAGGGGGGTGAGGGTGGGGTTTGCAGGCCCTGGGGAGTTTCCCTCTCTGCGGGGAGGAACCCGAGGGAGCAGAAAGGAACCCCAGGGCTTCTCCAACGAGCCCTGCCTTCCCACTTCCGTCACCGTCTTGCCTATGGGGGACAAGTTCCCGGCAGGTATGCAGTGGTGAGGATTCATTTGATCTCTCTTCCCTATGACCGAACGAGGTGGGCTTGACTAGGGAACTTTCTACGCCATCGGCAGCTAATTTTTGAGAGTGGAACTTGTTTCTGGGATCTCCAGCCAACCAGCAGAGAGGAATAGGCCTGCTCTCTGGAGATGGGAAATCTCAGGACTCATAGAACAGAGGCATATAGGGCAAGAACAGGGAACCTGATAGAATGACCAGGGCCTAGACCAGCCCGCCCACCCAGGAGCAGGTGGTTACAGTTGCTGCATGGAAAGCGGGAGGAAAAAACGTTACTGTAGGGCTCCATAGGCAGGGCGCTTAAGAGCAGCCATCTATGCTCTTTCAGAAATTGCGAGAAGGGAAAAGGTTTGAGGAAATTATAGCTTCTTCCTTTTGGGGAAGCAAATCTGAATCCTGCAAAAGATACTCAGGCATTGAGAGACTTTTGTCATTTATACACACTGAGCCGTCAGATTCCCCACCATGGCCTTAAAGTGTGAGTGGGGAAGATATGAGAGGGTGAGTTTCTTTTACAAAGACCCCTCCAGATAACGGCTATGTTACCCTCACAGCAGCTTGGGGATGCATACAAAGTGTATGCTGGCGATGCTGCCTTAGGGATATTGTCTAACTCCTTCCTTCTGAAGGGTAGGGATAGACTCCGAACATCTCCCACCCTGACGTCAGGTCTGGTGCTTGCAAGAGACCTTACACAGGAAGCTTGCTGGCCCCAGGGAGGGTGGCAAAATGAGCTTTAGAACCGACTGGAAGCTAAAGCACGATGCTACCAGTTTGCGTCCGGTGCTCTGGGCCCTATGACTCCTCTCCTCTCAGAGAGGCCCAGGCAGCTCGCCCCTGGAGCTAGGGAGCTCGGGCTGCCCACCGGCAGTGAGCCTTAGGGAGGGAAGAGATGTTGGCCGCCAAGAGCGGCTGCCCCTCCCACACTTCCCAACACGGAGAGATGTCTTCTCCCGGCAGGGGGACAGGCCACTATCAGAGTACCTGAGTCTGGATACGGTTCAGGCCCCGGAACCAGAGGATCTGGCCTCGGCGCAGCTCCATCTCTGCGTGGTCAATTTCGTCCAGCCCCTCTGCGTCCTTGGTGATCTCCTCTTTGGTGGTGCCGTGCCCAGCCTCCTTCAGGAACTTCAGGGATTGGGTAGGTATCGTGGAGATGATCTGAGAACAGGTGCAGCAAAAGGGGAGACACCAGAATCAGGGTGAGAGGGCGGTCCCTCAGCTCATATGGGGTCAGGCCCTCGCGTAGGTCACTCTTTGCCCCATCACCCGTTGCGGGGGGGCAGTGGGAGAGGTGCCAACCTAGCCAGGCAAGCACTCCTCAGGGCCTACCAAATGGCAGGCCCTCAGGAAGGTTTTCTGTATTTGTCGACACACGAAGGAGAACTGACATTTGCACGTGCGGCCAGCCATCTGCCTAGTTAGTTACATACTTGATTCTCCTTTTGTCTCAGTTCTTCATTTCTATTTTGCCATGTGTCTCTTAAGGGAAGTAGAACTATAATGCATGACACATGGTAAGAAGGGACAGGGACCAGAGCCTGGGGGGAAACAAGTCTGGGGATAGGAGAGGATGATCCCATTGCGAGTGTATGGGCAAAGGGAAGGGAAGCGTCGGAAGGGAAGGGCCCTCTTCTAGTTACCGTGTGCAAAGTAATTCCTGTGTTATAAAACAAGGGTGAAAGGATACTAGAGGTTTTCTTGGGCTTGGGGCGAGGAAGTGGGTGGGACAGGCTGGGGAAGAGGGGATAGACAAGTATTATCAGACATGGGCAGTAGGTTGGGCTTGCAATTCAAAATAAGTCACTCAAGAAGCTCAGTCAATCAGTTCTCCCCGACACAAAGACGAGGAGTAGACAGGGCTGGGATGAGAGAGGGACTGTATGAGCAGTCCAACATGGAGTCAAGGACTTTGAAATGGGCAGAATGTCTGCTTTTGGATGATTGGAAGGAGCTGCTGTGATGCGGAAGGAAGGCTGGTCTCTAGCCTCAAGACTGTGTGGTCATGTGTGAGACCAGACCCAGACGGGAGTTTCAGACAGTTGGTGAAACAACCAAACTTCACCCAGGTGTAAAAGGGACCTATGGTAAAGAAACGCCACCAAACAGAACAGGGTGGAGGGACTCATGGTAGGAACTGGGACAGCAACTGATCAGGGAGGCATCTGGGATGTAGGAAAGAAACAACTAGCAGGTCTATGGGGAAGGTCTGCAGTCCCAGGGAAGGATCTCTGGGGCCACTTAGAGCAAAGCCATTACCCAGGTGGCTAGGTGCCCATCGGTGGAGACTGGAGGTCTGTAAAGCAGAGCCTGGTCTGGCTCAGAGCTGAGGATGAGGGGGATGTGCAAAGTGGTATCTGGGAAGGAACAAAACTTACCGGACCTGATCCTATTATCATGTTAATAGCTAACTTTTACTGTGTACTTAGAGGGTGCTAGACATTGTTCTAAGTCATTTCTGTGTTGTAACTGACTGGCTGATTAACAACGATGAACAATGATCCTGTTCTCCTAACCTGAGGAGACCGAGGAGGCACAGAGTGGTTAAGGCACTTGCTCGAAGTGATTCAACTTGTAGAAAGGAGATGTGGGATTCAAACCCGGGTAGCCAGTCCCAGAGTCCATGCTCTGAACTGGGTGCTACATTGCTTCTCTGGAGACCTGGTGGGTCTAGATTTACCTAAGGTGAGAGTCAGCCATTCAACCCAGTCAACTCAGTAAGGCCGTGGTGAACATGAGGGGCAGGGGGGCCCTAAACTAGGTCAGATCAGCAGCTCACAGCCAGACTGTGGCTTCATTAAAATAAAGACTTCTGCTCTGTAAACTTCTACTTCTAAGACCCTTACTTTTGGATCTGCCTGCCTCTGGGCATGGTTAGAGGAGAGATCCAGAGACTCGGAAATGGTGGGCACGGATCATGCTACTCCAGGATCCTGCAAGACGGGAAAACCTCGAAAAGAGGGGGGAGGAAGGGGAGGGAAGGAGAAGATGCTGGTGAGGAGCTGGGAGGTGCCGCCGTTGCATGTCCTATCTCCTCCAGAGGAGAGAGCGTGCGCCGGCCGCGCATGGGGCAAGCCTGCCGGTACTCACCTGGCCCCACAGCAGTTCGCCGATGCCGATGAAGAGACACCAAAACCACTGAGACAGGGTGAGCTTCGTACAACTGAAGGGTTTGCCCCCAAACTCCACAATGAGAATCTAGAACAGAGAAAGAGGCAGCCCACCATCAGGGAGGCGAGTCATGGGCAGCTAGCCCTCTAGCCGAGGCCACCAAAGTGACGTCAGAGCCCTGGCCCATGATCCCTGTGGCGCCAGTCCTGATCTGCTTGTCGGAGGAGGAGAAAGAAGAAATCTGGAAGGGGAGAAGAGAAGACGGACACAGTCTTTCTAGAGACTCTGAGGGGGAGACAGAGCTACTTACTATGGATATTATCAAGGTAAGAGGGGCAGATCCAGGGGGGCTGGAGGCTTCTCGTGACTGCCGCCAGCGGGTGAGGTGCCAAGAGAAGGCACAGAGAGGAGGAATCGAAGAGCAGGGCCAACGAGGGGGACCCCGGCTGCGGAGGGCAGAAGCCCTTAGTATAGGGCGAGCTCACAGTCTCCTGTATCTGCAGGTGTTCAGCGTACCTGGGACTAGGGCAAGGAGGAAGGGACCCAATGCTTTCACCACCAGGGCAGCCACGCCCTTGACCTCAGTTCTACAAGAGGCTTATCTGTCCATTTGCCTGTGCGCCATGCCACACTCCTCTCTGTCTGCGAACTGCGCCGCGTTTTCTACCAGGGCCCCTCATGAGCGAAGGGGCAGAGACAAGGACAGAGCCCTACGGCACGTACCCGCACGTCTCACGTACGCTGGCAGGAGGCATGCAAAGGACTGCGGGGAGTGACCCTCTTCTTGGCCACTCTGTGAAATTTCTGTTCTTTAGAAAGACAAGGAAAGGATCCCACCAATCATATTTTATTTGCCACCAACGTGTTGCCTTGCACCGCAGCACTTGACCCAGCAGGCTCCAGTTCCAGAGCGATGTGCAAATGGAGGCCAACTGGGAATCCAAAAGCGTTCGATCTGCAGCCCGAGTCCCCATCCTTCCCTCCCTGCTTCTCCTGGGTACCTAGGGAACCCTGTTCCCTGCTTCTGACCTCTGCCATCCCAGCCCTCCTGCCCCGACTCCAGCCAGAGGCTCACCTGGCTGATGAAGGTGCCCAGGACCACGGCGCAGAAGATGAGGTTGCGGAAGATGCCTGCGAAGACGTTCCTCTCTCCATGGATCTTGCGGGAATTGATCTCGTTGAAGAGCTGCATCAGCACAAAGGTGTTGAAAATAATGGTGTAGTGCTGGCTGGGGGGCGAGTGTAGAGGCGCCTTCCTCCCGCTATCAATGTCAAAGAATTTCTCACCTAGTGGGGACAAAGGAAGCATTAGCGGGTTAAGTATGGTGTCCGAGAGGGCTCAGGTTGAGTCAGAACAGCACGTTGGTATGGCCAAGCTGGTGGCTTACGGCTGGTGTCCATTCTAATGGGTCAGTATCTGAGCTACGCTAGTTGTCAAACACTTTAAGTGTCAGCTCTGGTCTCAGCATATCTGACTCTCTCTCCGCGTCCGCTCCAGTGACTTTGACTTCTTAAGGTGCAGCGTGGGGGGAAAGCGGCATGAGGGCCAGGCAGACAACAGGCTCCATCTTAGTGCCACTATTTACTCACCACGTGACCCGAGCTTTCGTTTTATAATCTTTAAAAAATAAAAGAACTACAGAAAGCCACCCAGTGACATTCTCAAGAGGAGCATGTCAAATAGTATGATGTGCCACATAGCGGGGCAAGGGACACCCCCGGTGGGTGCAGCTGCTGTCATCCCCTGTCCCGTGCTCAGCTTGCTCCCTTGGGCCGTTCTCTGTCCCCATCTCTGCTTTGCACTCCGACCCCTGTCCCCAGCCCCAGCCCCAACCTTGGCTCACCGGCAAAGACGAGGAAGAAGATGACGGTGAGCTGATAGACAGCGTGGCCCAAGATGTTCTTCATCATAGTACGTGAGATCAGAGGCTTATTTCGGCCATAGGGGCGACGCTTCAACAGAGACTCTGTAGGAGGCTCCGTGGCCAGGGCCAGTGAGGCAAAAGTGTCCATGATTAGGTTAACCCACAACATCTGCACGGCTTTCAGTGGGGAATCCTGGTGGGAAGAAGCACCAGTCCTTTCAGCTTTCCTCGCAAACCAGCCCCTACCTCCCTCACCAGCCTCAGCTTTGCCCCTGCAACGGCCTAGCTCCTGCTATCCACCTAGACTTTGGATCTGGCCATTTATTAGCTGAGTGCCCTTGAGAAAGTTACCTAACCTCTTTAAGCCTTGGGTTCCTCGCCTGTAAAATGGGGAGAATACCCACTTTGCAAGGTTGTTTCTGAAGACCGTAGAAGTACTCATCATAGTGGCTAACATGCACGTGCTAAGTTAGCGGGAGATAACTTCGCATTCCCCTGCATGGGCAGATGGAGACCTAGGAGAGCTGACTCCTGCCCCAACCCCCCTGGGGGAACTCTTGTCCTTAATCCTCAGTAGCCAGGACCCCACTGCCCAGGTTCCCTAGCCCCCGCCTCAGCCCTCCCCTCCCGGCCCACCCCGCACCCCCTTCACCTGAGTGATACAGGCTCCGGTGAAGGCCACGATCACGGCTACCACGTTGACAGTGAGTTGGAACTGCAGAAACTTAGAGATGCTGTCATAGACGTTTCGCCCCCACATCACTGCCTTCACAATGCTGGTGAAGTTGTCATCTGTTAGGATGATGTCTGATGCCTCCTTTGCTACATCCGTGCCTGCAATACCCTGAGTAAGAGAGGGAAGGAGAGCAGTGAGGATCTGGATAAAGCAGAGTTTACCTACGTTCTGAAGCCAGACTGCGTTTCCAGACCTCCAAGAAGCTTCCGAACCGGCCATGAACACTAGAGGGCGCACTCCCCACGCTAATGCCAATGACCGAACCACTGTATTTTGAGTTCTCCTCTCCTCCAGAGAAAATGTGTTGCTGTCAGTCCGCAGAAAGCAGGGCTAGGGCCTGATGCCACCATCTTACTCCTGAACCCAAACTGGAAATGACAGTTACCTTTGGTATTCCTTTCTCCCTTCTTCGCTACTCCCCCACCTTGGATTTCTTTTTTTCTTTCTTTCTTACTTTCTCCTTCCTTCCTTCCTTCTCTCTCTCTCTTTCTTTGTTTATTTCAAGATTTTATTTTGAAGTAATCTCTACACCCGACATAGGGCTCAAACTCACAACCCCAAAATCAAGAGTCACACACTCCACCGACTGAGCCAGTCAGGAGCCCCTAAATTCTTTTTTTGCCCCCTAAGTTCTTATATTTCTTTTGCCACGGCCAATGTCTCACTTAAGTCCTTGTCTCCCCCACACCGCTAAGTCACCTTACACTTTTTTCTGGCAGGAGTAGTCTGGCAGTGAAGTTCAGATGTCCTATTGCTTGTTCAAATTCCTGTTCCTGGGGAACCACTAAAGGTTTCTCAATAGACAATGGTTGAAAGCTGTGCTTATAGAAACAGTAAAATTTCTAGACTGGTAGTCAGAGCCCTCAACAGGTGAACTCAGATTCATTTTCCAGTCTGCTCCTATATAATCTTTCTGCTCAAAACCCACTGGTTTATTCACAGTTCCCTGAATCTGTCCTTTACTTCTAGAGTCTAGACTTCTACTTACACCATTTCCCTAAACCTGAAACATCCTCCTTCCTCATCTATTTAAACCTTGTCTATCTTTAATGGTCTATGGGACGCAAAACCATCCCTAAGAACCCCAGCCCCTACTTCTAGTCCATGTCTTGGAAAGCCTATAGCCCACAGAGGAGCTTATTCATTGATGTGGCTTGCAGTAGTAGACGGTTTGTTCTCTTTACCTGGTAGTAATATTTTCCTATCCAGATTACAATAAACAAATATGTTATATAGATTATACAATTCAGTTTCCCCATCAAAAAGTTCTCCAACACATCCACACAATGTGTCACATGCACTGGAAAAAGAAAGGAGGGGGGGAAAAAAAAGAAAGGAGGACTATATATACTTTCTACTATGGAATGTGGAAAAGAAGAGTGCATGGTATGTGTGTAGGTAAGTATACATGGCAGTATAGATAAGTATCACTTACCTAAGAGAATAGGATACAAATATATCATACATTGGATTATATTTTAAAGAAGCAAACAGAAGGATACACCAAAAACAAAAGAAATGTTACTTAGGGTTAAGAGGGGAGGCAATAGGGTGGAGGTGATTGGCGTAGAAGCTGGATTTCTAGGAATAGACTTTGTTTTGTATATTTGACTTTAGAACTATATAACTACTTTATATGAGTATAAATCAAAATTAAGTTTATTTATTTATTTATTTTTAAAGATTTTATTTATGTATTTGACAGAGAGAGACACAGCGAGAGAGGGAACACCAGCAGGGGGAGCGGGAGAGGGAGAAGCAGGCTTCCCGCGGAGCAGGGAGCCCGATGCGGGGCTCGATGCCAGGACCCCGGGATCATGACCTGAGCCGAAGGCAGACGCTTCACGACTGAGCCACCCAGGCGCCCCAAAATTAAGTTTAAAAAGCAATGTGTAGGGGCGCCTGGGCGGCTTGGTCAGTTAAGTGTCTGACTCTTGATCTCAGCACAGGTCTTGATCTCAGGGTCAGGAGTTCGAGCCCCGCGTTGGGGCCTAGTGTGGAGCCTACTTAAAAAAAAGAAGCAATCTCTAAAATGGAAAGCAACATGGTATAAATGAACTGGTATAACCAGTGGGTAGCACAATCACACAAAGGAAAAATATTCCAAATGACTTTTAAAAAAAACATAGTACCTTGGTGGTAGAACCTAGCAGAGTATACCTGTAGGATAAAAAGAACTACAAGAAAAATCTTGAACTGTTTTTGGTAGAGTAATTGTATTATTATTGCTATTTTGAGACTGTTACTTACATTTTAGGGTAAAACAAGTAAGGATTATGTTAATGCCATTAGGAATCAAAATTTTCAGCTTAAGAGATATAAACATAAAATTAGGGAAGTTAAATAAAAGTAGTAAGTTAGAGTTCTATAATTCTAAATTTGAATTAAAAATGCCAATATGGACTCATGAAGTATTTTATCTTTAAAATAAAGAAATGCAAAGACAAAAAAGAGACATTAAAGATTTATTTCCTAGCTTTGACCAAAACCATTGAAAAGATCTAGAAACAATGATTTCCGTGGTAGTAAGGAACATCCTGACATTCAGATGTGTTCTCTAAGTACCATTTCTTACTAAAAAGCAGGACTCTTTGAGAAATGGATGATTCCAGATCTAGGATGAGAAATATGTATGATGATTCTGGAACATCTTATCATGCCAGAAGCCAAGGAAGGTATTAAGGACAACTGGGGTTGTATCTAAAGGACCCAGCAGTATTCATGAGGCTATTGACAAGTCAATGTGAACGTCAAAATAATAACAAAGGCAATGGATTGAAACGCATCAAATATACTTAAATCTGTGAGTTCATAATGATATTAAAAAAATAAACAATGAACGGTTTTTAGTAGAGTAACTTAGTAGAGTTAATTTAAAAAATATAATTCATGGGTGCCTGGCTGCCTTCCTCAGTAGAATGTGCAACTCTTGATCTTGGGGTTATGAGTTCAAGCCCCGTTTGGACATGGAGCCTACTTAAAAAATAAAATTTAAAAACATATATATATAATTCATTGGTCATCTTTGGGGTAGCCTAAAAAGTCAACTCATTTTGAAAACTAGTAAATAAACAAAAAGGATCAGGCATTTAGCTGCCTTTCATATAGGAACCGGAGCCTCAACCTCAGAGTAACCAAATAATCCTTGAGGGCAAGTTTCTTTCTATAGCAGTCTTCAAGTTAATAAATAGAGAAAATCTGGACATTATTTTGCAGCCCCTAATGAAAGATGGGATCTAGAATCTGATTGCATATGACAGGAATACAATCAACAAAATCTACACTATGCATTAATCTGTGTATTCAACCAGCCTGGTTCCTTCAAAATTAAATAGCTAGGAAAAAAGATGGAGGGGATTGGGCAGGAGAGCTGACATAGTGTGCTGTTATCTTTAGAAAGGGCTATTTGTGAGGTTGGCCCTGAGTTAGCATCTGGGACCTTGGCTCTCAGAACGCTCCCAGTCAACAATTAACCAAAAATTAATTAGTGGTTCATTGTGCCTAGACTGTGCCTGAATAATATGTTTTCTCTTTCCTTCTAGGAGTCTGGAATCTCTCTTAAAAAAAAAAAAAGATTTAATTATTTATTTATTTGAGTGAGAGTGAGAGCAAGTGTGAATGGGGGGAGGGGCAGAGGGAGAAAGAATCTCAAGCAGACTCCCTGCTGAGTGTGGAGCTCAATGCAGAGCTCGATCTCACGATCCCGAGATCATGACCCAAGCCAAAGCCAAGAGTTGGATGCTCAACTGACTGAGCCACCCAGGCACCCCTAGGAATCTGGAATCTTAGCACGTATTAGGCAAAAAGTGACTATATGACCAACCCCAATAAAAACTTTGGGCACTGGGTCTCTGATGGGCTTCCCCAGGTAGAAACATCACACGTGTGTTGCCAGGGGAGGAGTGTGCTCTGTGTGAGCCCTCATTGAAGGAGAGAGCAGAAAGCCTGCACGTGGATTCCTCCAGACTTCTCCCTTACTATACCCATGGAATAAGTCTTAGACATGAGTACGAACCCTATGCCGAGTCTCATGAGCCCATCCAGTGAATCCACAAATGGTAAAGGCTGGTCTTGGGGACATCTGACACAAGGATCCTATAGGACCAGTGGTTCGTAACCCTTTAGGGTGTGACAGAAATGTCAAGAGCTTGTGAAAGCCCAGATTGCTGGGCCCCCACACTGAGCTGTCAGATCCAGAAGAGCTGCGATGGGCCTGGGAATCTGCATTTCTATAGGTTTCCAGGCCCAGCTGGGAGGAGGAGCACGCTTCAAAAACTCCTGCTATAGATTAAGAGCTCTAAGAGACACAGCAAGTGATTGCAGCGTATGGCTCTTATTTAGATCTGATTTGGACAAAAAAAGAGAATTTATGAAGCACTTGGGGCAATGGGGGGATGGACTAGATGACTGATGATAGTAAGGGCTCAAACTGTTGTGAGACAATGGTGCTATGATTCTTCTAGATGTATGTCCTCAATGCACGCTTATCAGAGGCGTATACTAACATTCAAATGAAATGACGTGATGTCCTTTATTTGCTTCAGAACAGTCCAGCTGGAGATGGGAGAAGTTGGGGAGGTGGGACATTCAGTGAAACAAGTTGGGCCAGGTATTGATAATTAATGCTGGGTGACAGGTACATGGGGATTCATTAAACTATTCTCTCTACTTCTGTGTCTTCTTGAAACTTCCTAGAATCAATGTTTTTGTTGTTGTTGTTGTTAAAGGGAGCACCGTAAAGACAGGTTACTTCTTGAATCTCTTTCCACTGCTTAAAAATCACCAATAGTTCAATACACACGGGAGGCTTACAATCACAAGCCACTTGAGTGTGAGGACGTCCTTGGCCATCTGGGGGCTTCCACATTTGCTGCAACCCTCAGAATCAACAAGCGTGGCTGTTAGGAAATGCCAAACATCTCTGGGACCTACCCAGATGCTACTGAATCAAGATATCCACTTGTGGAACCTTGTAATACATGATTTTAAATGAACTTTCCAAGTGATTCTGATGCTCCTGGCCTCACAAGTGAAAAGCAGAGTGATGAACAGTGCTGGCCACGGCATACATGCTTCATAGGGAACCTGAATTTTCTATGGTCTGCCTAGGCAGACAATATCACCACGTTCACGGTAATGAGGCGTCATGATTTCCCTGCCTGGGTCATCTAGTCTTCATACCTGATGGGTCTCCCATTACACAAACTTTTACCGGCCAGGTCAGCAGGAGAGATGGTGTCAGAGAAAAGAGCACAAGGAGGGGGTGAAGGTACAGGAAGCAGCAGGCTGCAAGAGGCCCGTCCTGGCTTCCGGGTGGATAAGGCAGCTTGCAGGCAGGGACAGTGCGCCGAGCTGCTTACCATGGCAAAACCAACGTCTGCTTTCTTCAGAGCCGGCCCATCATTTGTGCCATCACCGGTGACAGCCACCACCTGCCGCTGCTCCCCAACAGTGCTGTCGATGATGCCTGGGAAAACAGTACGATGATGCCTGGGAAGCCCAGTCCACATGCGCTACCCGCAGGCCGTGTGAAAGCCCTCTGCTCCCCACCGAGGCCCTTTGTGGGTCTTCTTCCCTGGTCCCTGCTACCACCTCCCTTCCTTTTCTTTTCTTTTCTTGTGGGTGACAAGCTCACTTTATAGCATGTTGAAAGTGTAACCACCCCCCCTTCTGAGCGCCGACAGATCTGTCAGCTCCTGAGAAGCTGCTACTGCTCTGCCTTGTTCCGCTCAGCCATCTGAGGGTTAGAGGGAGGGCTGGAGGAGCACCTCGTCCAGCCTTCACCCTGGCAGCGGGCAAGAAACACAGGCCATTTATACATCGAAGTCCAGCTACTAGCTGAAAACAACCACAAGAAGGGGTAGACCAGGCCCCACAGGGCTGAGGTTGGCTGACTGGGCACTGGGCGGACGGTGCTCTCCTGCCCCCTGGTGGTGGCGGGGGGGGGGAGCAGTGTCTCAGCCTCGGGCGCCAGCAGGCACAGCACCTTGAAGGGGGAGAAGCCAAGGGTCCAGTAACAGGCAGCCGGAAGCCACAGGCATGATACAGTCAGAGGCCTGGAGGGGATCCAGAGAGATCCATGCTCTGAGCAACTCCTATCACCTTACAGATGAGAAAACTGAAACCCAGAGAGGGGAAAGGCCTTGCAGGGTCCCATAGCCAGCAGGTGAAGCCCAGCCATCATTCCATCCTATCTCAGCCAACGAGGCCATGTGCTACCTGAGCAGGAGCAGGAAGCAAACAACTGGAGGGAAGAGTGAAAGGGAAAATTACACTTGCCAGGAGGCTGGCTGCTTCCAGCCAAGGAGAGGACAGGAGATCAGGGTGTCAGAGCTGGACACCAGAAGGTACACACATGCACGTGTGCACACATCTACACACACACACATGAAACCTGGATGCCCTTTCTCTGGAGCCCAGGCTGGTGCCCTAGAAGTGTGTGCGTGTGTGAGTGTGAGTGTGAGTGTGAGTGTGTGTGTGTGTGTGTGTGTGTGGACCACCTCCCTTTCTACTTTGTTCTTTCCTTCTTTCTTTCTGATGATGGAGGCTCTATAGTATCACCCAAAGGCTGTCAATTGTTTCCCGGTGGCGCTCTGAGCTCTGAGTCTGTCCTCATCAGGTTAGCCTAGCGGGGGCCCGAAGGCAGCCAGTATGTGCTGGAGAAAGCGCCGGGTGATTTGAAGACAGAGATCTGGGGGTTGAACCGTACCACTTCCGCTCACCAGCATGGCAATCTGGGTTAAGTTGTCTTCTCAGCCTCAAACTTCCTCAATGGCAAAATGGGAACAATTTAACCTGCTCTGACTAGTACACAGTAATATGGGCAAACAAGATACGATGTTTGAAGACAACTTTATTACAGGTCTTCTATGCAGATGTTTGCTAAATTGTCTGCTTCCCCTCCCCCGCCCTGCCATGAGCTGGACAGCTCTCCTGGGACCTTCCTATTCAAGACAAGAGAGTTGCTTTGGCCAGTGGTTCTTGTTTTCTGTCTTGTTGCCCAGCCTGCCATCATCTGCCCCAGGCACCCGGTCAGGAGCCGAGCTCACCTTTTACCAATGTGTGTTTGTCCGTGGGGGATGATCGTGCCAGGACTCGAAGCTTCGGCCAGATCTTGTCCAGCTTTTCCTGCTCCACCTGCCAACACCAGACCACACCGGGTCAGTCAAGCTCGGAATAGCCGTCCGGGCGAAGTTTACATCTCCCTGCGCTCTGAGATTCTGGGAGAGCTGGCCTGCCACAGCCCATGGTGGGTGTTACCACGGCCTCCAGGGGAGACGGAAACAGCCAGCTCAGTCCCCCAGGGCAGATTTATTGATGGTGACCATTCAGGCCCTGCGTGTCTTCACTTCCCTCCCAGTTCCCTACCGGGGAGCCAATGCCCTATTTCCTGGACCCTTGACAGGAGGTGGGCCAGGGCCCGCTGTTGGCTAAGGTGCTTCTGAGGTCTCCAGTTTGGTTTCTGTGCAGACCAGGAAGCTCTGGTCTGCTCCACACCCAGACCACATCCTCTCGCAGACCCGTGCCACCCACCACTAGTCACAGGGCAGTGACACAGGAGGGTGAGGTGGAGGGGAATCAGTACGAAAGCATCCCATGGCTGAACACAATCGGGAAGATGTGAGAAGTCAGTGACACTGTCTCAAAAGACAGCTTAGGACGGAGGATGAAGAGAAGAAAGAAAACTCCCAGTTTTCCCACCTGAGCAGCCCCGGCAGAAGGTTTGCTCTAAATAGATTTTAGTTAACAAACCACGCGCTTGCAGGTCCAACTCCTCACAGCTTCCCCTACTTGCTATATGGGATGCTGCCCAATTCATGAAACCATTTAATAAAGCCAATTAGATCTTCAAAACAAACAAACAAACAAACAAGAACAAAACCCAGCCACTTTCTCCCGTGTCCCAGATGTGAGAGCCGTGCCCCCCACCCCCCCAACGACCAGGTGCCAAATGAGGCCTTGGGTCTTCCCAGCCGGGACCCACCTCTCCCTTCTCATTGCGGATAAGTCGGTTGAATTCTTTGCCTTCTAAGCACAAGAAGTCATCCCCAGGTGTCACAATACCACATTTGGTGGCGATGGCCCGGGCTGTGTTGATGTTGTCACCTGTCACCATTCTGACAGTAATCCCAGCTCGCTTGCATTTGGCAATAGCTTCGGGTACCTGTGGAGAGTAAGGAGGAGGAGGTGGGGGCGGTGAGGCCTGCTGAGCTGCCCCTGTCCGGGGTCCCTTCATTGTGGACAGGAGAGAGGCACCCTAGGAGTGGCACCATGGGGACAGGCCACGTCTAGTCATTGTTATATTGTTTGGTGCCACCTCACTTCTGTCCTACCCATAATACTACCCTTGAATTTGCCTTCCTGTACCATGAGTTGAAGAGGAAATCTGCTTCAGGAGCCAGGCGTGAAAGCTTCCTCTCCCTACAGTCTAGACTCCTTAGCAGGGCATATACTTTGGGATTTGGCCACTGTCTTCCTTTCTAGGAGAAGATTTTACCATTCTCCACCTCCCTGGCCCATACTCCAGCCAGTTAATTCTTTATAGTTTCCCATGCCCTTGGGCCTTGACCAACTCATAGTCCATCTGTCTGAACTTCTTATAAGCAGAGACTTTTTCAAGGCCTTGGTGTTTGGAATACGGTTCAGCGGTTCTACGGGCACTCGGCAAGAATGTACTGATTGAAAGAAGGTGGCTGGAGGCAAAGTTGGTGTCCTGGTTAACTCCGCCTCCTGACTGTTCTCAGGCACCAGATCATAAGCTCAATAAAACCTATGCCTCTCACCCCTCAGACAGCATTAACCGTCAGAATGCCAGCTTCTACCAGCTCAGCACTCTACAGCAGTTTTGTGAAGCAGGAGGCACAGAAACCTCTATCCCTGTAAGTGAGAAGCTGCTAGGTAACTTGCCTGGGGTCACAGCTAGAAATGGAACGAGTCCCCCCAGTTCCCGTGACTTTGGGCTGGCTTCCCATTATGTCGCGCTTGCCTTGCTCATGGGCCAGAGGCTGTTGGAAGGCTTCCCTTCATGTTTTCTTTTTTATAAAGATTTTATTTATTTATTTTAGAGAGAGAGAACGAGAGATAGCACGAGAGGGAAGAGGGCCAGAGGGAGAAGCAGACTCCCTGCTGAGCAGGGAGCCCGATGTGGGACTCGATCCCGAGACTCCAGGATCATGACCTGAGCCGAAGGCAGTCGCTTAACCAACTGAGCCACCCAGGCGCCCCTCCCTTCATGGCTTCTTACCCTTTGGCCAAAGCCAAAGCCTCACCTCCGGGCGCACAGGGTCCTCAATGCCCACCACTGCGATACACGTGAGTTCAGTGAGGATTTCGTTCTCATTGTCCCATGTGGGCTCTCCGTCGTTGAAATCCCGGTAAGCTATGCAGATGGTTCGGAGGCCCTCGGAGGCCATGGGCTCGATGACAGCACGGACCATCTCGTCTCGGTCCTTATTCTTGAAAGGCATCACTTCCCCTTTCTTGTCCAGGATTCGGTTACACCTGGGGAGGCACACAATGAGGAGGTGGCACCCCCTTCCCACCCAATATGTCTCTACACTCATTTGAAGACATTCTGGTGCCTCTGCATTACTCGTACAGACACTGTCCCAAGGCCAGAAATCTATCCATTGTCCAGCTGAGTCCCTTTTGGCTGGGGTGGGGTGGTCTGGAGGTGGATAAGGTCTAGGTAAGTGGAGGGTGTGACTCTCCCATGTCGTCTGGTCCTATTCATCTGCTCATCTGTGAATGTGACGCCAAGGGTCATTTGTGGATGGATCACCTGTCTTCTGAACTTCTCAAAGGTGGAGAGACATTTTTAATTCCCGGTTCTAGCATAGTACTAGAACGGTACTTGGTGCGTAGGGCCTGCTCCACAGGTATGGGCTGATTGAAAGAAGGTGGCTAGAGCCGAACAGAGACACCGGTTAATTCAGCTACTGGCCCTGGATCTACACAGGTCAGCTTTAATGACCTGTGAACGGTCTAGCCACTTGATGAAGTTATGCAACTTCCTATAATCAGAACTGAGCATGAGAAGGAGAAGGAGACATACAACTACCATTTCTAGTACTTGCTATGTGCCCGGCATTTTACGTACAGGTATACCTCGTTTCATTGCACTTTGCTTTACTGCACTTCGCAGATACTGTTTTTGTTTTCTTTTTTTTTACACATTGAAGTTTTGTGGCCACCCTGCATCGAGCAAGTCTGTTGGCACCAATTTTCTAACAGCATTTGCTCACTTCATGTCTCTGTGCCACTTTTTGGTAAGTTTTGCAGTATTTTAAACTTTTTCATCATTATTTTATTTGTTACGGTGATCTGTGATCAGTGATCTTTGATGCTACTATTGTAATTGTTTGGGGACATCAACAGTCACCTGCATTTAGGTGGCAAACTTAACTGATAATGTTGCGTGTGTTCTGACTTCTCCACTGCCTGGCTCTTTCCCCTTCTCTTTTCCTCTCCCCGGGCCTCCCTCTCCCCTAAGAGACGACACTATTGAAATTAGGCCATGGATACCCCTGCGGTGGCCTCTAAGTGCTCAAGTGAATGGAAGAGTTGCATGTGTCTCACTTTAAATCAAAAGCTAGAAATGATTGAGCTTGGTGAGGAAGGCAAGTCGAAAGCCGAGAGAGGCTGAAAGCTAGGCCTTTTGTGCCCAGCAGCCAAGCTGTGAATGCAAAGGAAAAGTTCTCAAAGGAAATGAAAAACGCTGTTCCTAGGAAACCAAAACAGCCTTATTGCTGATCTGGAACAAGTTTGAGTGGTCTGGATAGAAGACGAAACCAGCCACGACATTCCCTTCAGGCCAAAGCCTAATCCAGAGCCAGGCCCTAACTCTCCACAATTCCCTGAAGGCTGAGAGAGATCAAGAAGCTGCAGAAGAAGTCTGAAGCAGCAGAGGTTGGAGAGGTTGGGTCCTGAGGTTTAAGGAAAGAAGCCATCTCTGGGACATAAAAGTGCAAGCTGAAGCCGCAAGTGGTGATGTAGAAGCTACAGCAAGTGATCCAGAAGGTCTCGCTAAGATCATTCATGAAGGTGGCTACACTAAACAACAGATTGTCAATGTGGATAAAACAGCCTCGTACTGGAAGATGGCATCTAGGACTCTCACATCTAAAGAGAAGTCAGTGCCTGGCTTCAAAGTCCCATAGGACAGGCTGACTTGCTCGTTAGGAGCGCACATAGCCGGTGACTTTAAATTGAAGCCAGTGCTCATTTACCATTCTGAAAATCCCAGGGCCCTTAGAATGATGCTGAACCCACTCTGTCTGTGCTCTGTAAATGGAACAACAAAGCCTGGATGACAGCACATCTGTTTATAACATGGTTTATGGAATGTTTTTAAGCCCACCATTGAGAGCTACTGCTCAGAAAAAGATTCTTTTCAAAATATGACCGCTCACTGACAATGCACCTGGTCACCCAGGAGCTCTGATGGAGATGCCCAATGAGATTAATGTTGTTTTCATGCCCGCTAACACGACATCCATTCTGCAGTCTGTGCATTAAGGAGTAATTTCAACTTTCAAGACTTATTATTTAAGAAACACATTTTGTAAGGCTATAGCTGCCAGAGATAGAGATTTCTCTGATGGATCTGGGCAAAGTAAATCGAAAACCTTTTGGAAAAGATTCGCCAGTCTAAATGCCATAAAGAACATTCGTGATTTAGGCCAAAATATCAACACTAACAGCAGTATGGAAGAAGTTGATTCCAACCCTCATGGATGACTTTGACCCTCACGGTTCAAGAGTTCAGGGGAGACAGTAGGTGCAGATGTGGTGGAAACAGCGAGAGAACTAGAATTAGCAGTGGATCCTGAAGATGGGACTGAATGGCTGCAATATCATGATCAAACTTGAACAGATGAGGTGTTGCTTCTTGCAGATGAGCAAAGAAAATGGTATCTTGAGATGGAATCTACTCTTGATGAAGATGCTGTGGAGACCGTTGAAATGACAGGAGAGGATTTAGAATCGTGCATAAACTTAGTTGATAAAGCAGCAGCAGGGTTTGAGGCGAAATGACTCCAATTTTGAAAGAAGTTTTACTGTGGATAAAATGCTCTCAAATAGCATCTCATGCTACAGAGAAATCATTCACAAAAAGAGTCAATCAATGCGGCACATGTCATTGTCTTATTTTAAGAACCTGCCACAGCTGCCCGGTCCTTCAGCACCCACCGCCTTGATCAGCCAGCAGCCCAGCAACACGGGGGCAAGACCCTCCACCAGCAAGAAGCTGATGATCGCTAAAGCTCAGATGATGGCGAGCATTTTTTAGCAATAAAGTATTTCTAAAATAAGGTATGTACGTTGTTTTTTTATACAAAAGGCTACTGCACACTTAATAGACTACAATCTAGTGTAACTATGAGTTTTGTATGCACTGGGGAACCAAAAAGACTCATTTGCCTCGTTTCATTGCGGCAATTCTGGAACCGAACTCACAACATGTCCTAGGCGCACCAGTGCGCATGGACCCATCTACTCATAGTAACCCGTGGGTACTCCTCGGGTTTCACATGAGAAGATGAAAGCTCGGATTGTTGAGGTCTGAATCCTGGCTGCGCCACTCTTAGCTGTTTCACCCTGAGCAAGTTACTTTACTTCCCGTACCTCTGCTCTCTCGTCTGTAAAACAGGGATGAAAATAGCATCTACTGCACTGGGTTGCGAAGATTAAGCAGAAGGGGACACCCGAGGCACTTGAAAATAAGCCTCGGCCTGAATAAGCGCTCAGCTATTAGTGATGGTGTCACCACCTGGAAGGGGGGCTCACGTGTCACCCAGACCTTCCAGCGGGGAGGATCTGGAACGGAAGGAAAAGTGGGGGCAGGGGTGCTCACTTGCGCAAGATGATCTCAGAGGCGCCCTTGCTGTACATGCGGTAGCCCCCGCTGGGCTTCTCAATGACCGTGCTCATGGACTTGCGCACAGAGTTGAAGGTGTACACCTTGTAGAGCTTCTCCTCGGGCACCTCGTTGCGCACGGCGTGGTAATCCTGCTTCAGGTCAGTGACAAAGCCCAGAAGGGCACACTCGGTCTTGTTGCCCACCTGCCGTGGGAGGCCTCCCTCCTTCTCCGGAGGCTGAGGGAAAAATTGGATACGCTGTTGAGTAACATGCCCTGACTAGGGAGAGACCTTAGGAAGGAAAGAACTCCCCGATGAAACATTCATGTATGTGCCCGGAGCCCCTGCGGGGAGACCGCATTTGTCTTTTTTCCAAGGGTAAGCAGACAGCGGTCAGTGGTAACTGTGGTCCCCGAGCCATTCTGGGCTTAGCGATGTTCTAGTCTGCCCTAGGGGTGGTGCTGGTGCTGGTTTTTCGCTCTGTGTGGGTTTTCATTTGAACACCCTCTCTTAGTTTCTAGAAAGTATGTAATTTGCCCCTGACAAACCTATCTCTTCTAGAGATACTGCCATGATATGGTGATTGGTGGGCATTTCAGACACCCGGATTTCTACCTGCCTCCCACCCCCAACTCGGATACTCCCACGAATCAACCCCTCATCACCGCAAACATGTTCACTGAGGAGTAGGGAGTGGGAATGTGGGGTGGCAACTCAGGCAGAATAGACAAGAGAAAATTCCTCTGTCCAGAGAAAATTAATGGTCCCCTCCAACCACCCACTCTAACTGTCCAGGTAAAGAAAGAGCTTACCAGAATCTTGGAGGTATAGGCACTGTTGATGGAAATGCCATTGACAATAAGGTCCAGGACCTTGGGCATGAGGGCGTCAGGGCTTGGGATCTGATGGTAATGAGTGTCTCCAATGTAAGCCTGTACCACAGTCATGCGGTTCATGGTCAGCGTGCCGGTCTTATCAGAGCAGATGGCCGTGGCGTTGCCCATTGTCTCACAAGCATCCAGGTGACGCACCAAGTTATTGTCTTTCATCATTTTCTACAAAGAAGATGAGAACAGACTTGAGAGGAGACCGACGGAGCTCTGCCAAATATAGGTCAAAGGCCATTTTTTAGTGAACATGTCTCCACGTCCCATGCTTTTGTCTGCACAAAAATGCAGGAGACAATTTTTGTGACTCTTCTTCAGATGCTCCTGGGTTACCTCAACCTGGATGCAACCCATCAAGATGGTCGTTGCATCTGGCAAGTCTGGCACCTTGCGTGGTGCCAGAGGCTTCTGCTCTTGTGAGGCGCCCCCCAGAGGTTGCGGAGATAGGATGGCCCATCCTGTCACTGGAGGCCATGGCACCCTCCCCTCCCACCTCTACCCCAAAAGAAGAGGCGGCCCCGTTGCAGCCTTACCTTCACAGAGTAGGCCAGCGAGATGGTGACGGCCAGTGGCAGCCCCTCTGGCACGGCCACCACCAGTACGGTGATGCCGATGATGAAGAATTTGACAAAGTACTGGATGTAGATGGGAGTGCACTCTGATAGCCACGGTCTGCGGCGGATCACGAAGTTGTCGATCACAAAGTACAGGATCAGGATGAGAACCGTGATGGCAGACATGATGAGGCCTGTTCCGGAAACAAGGCACGAGAGCCCAGGCTCGGGGGTGTCCCCAGGCGCCCCAGCCAGAAGGGGGCTGGCATAGGGGGGAGCCTTTGCTACCAAGGTTTAAATCCCCTATTTCTGGGGAGTCAGACCCAAATCCCCTATCCGTTCTCGGCGGCGTGCACATTATCGTGTGGGGGAGAAGACGCTGGTTTTGTCCCCCACAGACACAGGTTCTAGTTTCAGCACGGCACCGACTCGACTCGTGGCTTCGGACTAGTCGTTGTCTCTCTCTGGGCCTGTTTCCTCGCTCATGAATAAGGAATTGGTTTAGTTTTCTAAAACAGCACTTTATGATTCTAACTCAGACCTACCCTCTTTCTACAGTTCATAATGTAGTGACTGTATTTGCCTATTTCCTAGGAATTTATCAGTTTGGGCTTCTCCCCTAGCAGCTGAGGAACGTCGGGTAATTCACCCGACTTGTTTACAGCGATGCCCCTATGGGGTTAGCCCGTCACCCACATGGCTAACCTTTAGAACAGTGCTTCTTGACCTTTCTCTCGACATGGCATAGACAGAATATGACAGTAACTTATGTTTATAATAAGCAAATATTTCTGTGGTGCTTACTATATAGGCCAGGCAAGCATTTCACGAACACTAACTCATTTAATCCTCACAAAACCCCTGTGAGATAGTTAGTATCATCATCCCCTTTCATGAGGAAATTGAGGCACAAAGAGTTTTTTTTAAAGAAGATCAAGAAACAACTATGATTTAAAAAAATTTTAATCTTATTTATTTATTTATTTATTTACTTTCATCATGGTAAGTGTCATCTTTAATCCCCATCGCCTATTTCACCCAACCCTACACCCACTTCCCCACAGAGGGTTTTTTGTAAATGGCACACTGGTTGCGGGACCGACTATTCTGGCTTGCCTGAGACTGAGCCGATTCCTGGGACGTGAGACTCTCAGTGGTAAAATCAAGAGAGTCCCAAGTAAGCTGGGACAGGCTGGTCGTCCGACACACTGATGTGAATGGAAGAATTTTTTTTTGAGGTCAGAAAGCAACTGGCTTAGGGGCTCCAACCACCCTGGGGACTGCCTGGCCACCCTGAAGGCGGAGGGGATCAGTATTTGGGCACACTGTACCGATCTGTGGCTCAATATCTGGGAAGAGCTCTGCTTCCAACCATAGTAAGTGTGGGTCTTTGCTTTTCCTGAGGGCCTAATGATGCAAGAGGATCAGAGCAAGGCTAGAGGTGATTATTATCAATAAAAGCATATTCTTCTGAATTTTGCTTCAGCAGGGTCAGGACTAACGTGAGGCAAACAAGGTGCCGAGGGCCCAAAATTCAAGGAAGCACTCCCTCCCAGGGTGGTACAAAGCACCAGACTTGCCTCACCTCCTACTGGCCCAGCTTGAAACATAAACGGAAACAAGAGAGGAGACTAGAGGCCAGCCATCAGGTAAGCCTGTACTCCCTAAAGGACAAGGCAGGGGTTCAGAGGACCATAGGAGGGGTTGGGTGGGGTCTGTTTAATGTTTCACACCCGTGTGCCAGGCTCAGTAACTTGACTCCACACCTGCAATTCATGTCCCCCATGTACACTTGACATGCAAGAGATTTCACGGTGGTCACCATCAGCTGGGGACCAGAACTGAATGAATACACTGGACGAATGCTGTCCAGTTGAACTCTCCGTGATGCTTCAAACATCCCCCGTTTGCACCGTCCAGTAAGGTAGCCGCTAGCTACGTGTGGTTATTGACCAACTGAAACAAGGCTGATGTGATGGAGGAACTGAATGTTTACTCATACTTAATTGTAATTCATTTCAGGGGACACAGCGTGGTTAGTGGCTACGGTAGTGCCCTGCATAGATTCTTGCCACTCGACGTGTGGTTAGCGGATCAGTGGCATTGGCACCACCTGGGGGCTTGTTAGAAATGCAGAATCTCGGGCCCCGCCCCCGGACCTCCTGAATCAGAATCTGCACTTTAACAAGATCCCAGGTGAACTGTCCCCGCAGAATGTACCGGACTAGACGGATTGTGGTCCACAGAAGGGCGGGGTCAGGAGCAAATGAAACAGTGGTACAAGGTGGTCCCTTGAGACGTGTGTCCACGGAAGAGGCAATCTTCCTTCAGTTTCTTCCTCCAAACCCCCCGCCTCGCCCCACCCCGCCAGAAGGTGGAGAGAGAATGTAGAGGCAGGGGCTAGAGAAGCCACTTCCTCTCACGATACACAAGAGGGACCCCTCCTCTGGAAAGACCCCTCTAAATCACGGTCTTCCCGTGTCTTCTAGTCCTCATTTTGCATTTATCGCGCTCTGCCAGGCCAGGTGCTAGTCCTGTACTAGGGGTTCTCTTCCTGAAGGAATTTACTAGCCAACCCATGGAACGGGTGAGTGGTTGTCCATGTCCTCCTTTTGCTAACGTAAGTCTCCCCCGTGTGACAGAAGTCCTTTATTTCCCTTCTGTTGGGAAGGCAGAGACCAAGCGTGGGGTCTTTAACCCTCGCACACAGGAGCACACTTCTCTCCGAAGAGGCCCAGGGAGTGGCCAGAGGGGGGCAGAGAGAGGGGCACAGCCACCTCGGCTGCATGAGCCCCCGGGAAGGTTCGGCTTCTTTCTGCCGGCCTGGCTGGGACAGAAGGAAGACAGCCAAAGTGGCGAGGATCCAGAGTAGCCCCAATACCAAGGAGGCGCTGCCCTACTCACCGGCTTTCCCAATCTGAACAGCCAAGCGCGTCAGCTTGCCCTGCAGCACCGACTTCTCCTTTTTGGGCAGCTTGGCTGCCTTTTTCTCCTTTTCCTCATTGTCGATCCCCTCCTGGCTGTTGAGTGGCTGGATTTCCAGGGCCACTCCATCCTGAGTCTTTGCTAGGGTGTGCACACAAATAGGAGAGGTGAGTGCGCGAGGTGGTAGCGCCGAGGAGCAAGCATGTGGGAACCAAAACTCCTCTGTCTCCTTCCTGGAATCCACCTTGGACCCCCAGCGTCAGCTCTGGCCCACTCTCACCCCATGCCAGGCAAGGAACATGCCTTCCACCCTCTGCTAGGGCCTTTAGAATGATACTCTGACAACGGGAGATGAAACGGGAGTGCTTTTAGGGTATGGATTTCCTCTTCAGTGGCAGCTTCCTGGCACCACCTCAGAGCCCCAAGCCAGGTTTATTCCAGCAAGAGGATTAGTCATGCCACTAAGTGCTATTACCAACAACCATCCTTCCTGGAATTCAGTGCTTAAAATAGTGAATCTTTAGTGCAGAAAGGGGCTGACTGATGGGGAAGGCTGGTAGATGTTTCCAGAGCCTGAGGGTCCTAGTCTGCTCTGTTAAAAGGTTCATCTCTTTCTCCCTATAGACTGTCAGCGAAGAAACACAGACCCCCAAACAGGGTATTTTCCAGCTCCTTCTTATGTCAGTTGAATAACTGGGGAAGGAAATGCCCTTTCTCCCCTGACGAAGGTGGGGAGGTACAGAGTGGGGAGGGTTAAGTCTTTTGGGGGAGAGGGAAGAAACTGGTAGGAGGGACCCTCTGGAATAAAGAGGGATAAAGATAGACATATAAATCCATTTTGCTTTCCAAAGAAGCGTTAAAGAGACCTGAAATTAAAGAATTATTTCTGTGGAGCCCTGCTTCTCCGATGTGATGACTTTACTCCTAAAGACTACTATGACGTGGGTACAGAGGAAAAAAAATCTCCAGTAGCTGTCTCAAGAGAGCCATTCTCGCCGGTTCCCACCCCCCACCCCCGGCTTCACCCCTGTGGAGCTCGGCCCTTTTGCTTAGGATGCCCTTCCTGAGATACTGTCTCTGTTGTCAGACTCACAAAAAAGACAGAGACGGGATGTAAACACAGCCACCAAAAAAGAAACACACACCAGATCGGGAGGAAGAAGACAGACGGCGAGAACAAAGAAGGAAGTGGGGAGAGGTACGGAGAACGGGCTCTGTCCAAGCACCCCAAGAAGCCTAGCAGAGAAGAACTCCAGACCAGAAGAGGACACCGATGAGGAAGCTAGCAAGAGGAGGGTGCAGGGACTGCCCACCCCGACTCCCTTCACCGTGGGGACCCTGAAGTCTTCTAGCCCAGAAATGGATGACCGTGGGTGTTTAAATCTGGCCTAGGGCGGTGAAGCAGGGAGCTCAGCGTCCCGGGGAAGAGCAGATCAATCCCACGCGCTCCCCCAGAGAAGCCTTGATGGGGAGGGTCCGTGAGACAACAGCAGGGGGTGCTGTTGTCCCATCTTAGATGGGGCTCGGGACCTGGAGCCCACCCCCAAATCTCTGCACCTTCCTCAGGATGAGGGATTGGGGGGCCCCCAGCAGCAGATAACAGATTTATGGAGAGGAAAAGGGAGAAGGCAGATGGCCTGGAAAGGTCTGGATTGAGTGTGGGCAGGTAGAGATGGTAAATGAGTGGGTGGAGAGGTTACCTTTGTTGCGATTTTCAGGGACTCCTTGTTTTTTACCTGTTTGAACAAGAAAGAAAAAAGTGGGGTGGAGACCCAAAGTGACTATTAAGAGATCAGGTATCCAATCTGTCGGTCCTGCTCAGAGCCCAAAAGGGCCACAGCAAAAAGGGGTGGGGTGGCAGGGAAGGGGATGTAAAGGAAGTTCACGTCTCTGCTCACATCCGCGCTTACTTGGGGTCGCAGGACTCCCCGGGATGTGGACCAGACCTCTCCCTCAGGTGAGCGCACAGCCACACCTGGGCTGCTCTCTCCCAGAGCACAGCGGCTGCTGGGAGGCTGCTCCCGGCTGAGTCCCATCACTTGCAGAAGTGGGGTAGGGGTTAGAGAGTGAGAGGTTGGAACCGGTTCTGCCTGAAGGCAAAGGCTCTGAAAGGTGTCTCTGTGGCCGGGTCCCTCCTTACTCATCTGCAGGTAGCTGCAAAAATCTAGTCTAGTTCCCAAGGGAATGGGTTTTGTTTCCTGATAAACTGCCGTCCACGAAACAGCCTGAGATGGTCCTCCAGCCAAGCGACAGAAATCCTTCTCTTCTCCAGGGAAAGAAGGAACGCTGAGGGGAAAGGTGTCGATCTCTTTAGTATCTCTTTCTTGTTCACCTTCCTTCCTTGTTTGTCCTTCCTCTAGGAGCAAGCGAATGGCAAAGACGGGGCTAACTCTGGGGGTAGACATTACCTCTGTGTTCCCACTCTCCTGGCCATGTCTCTTCCACTGACAGCCCAGGCTTTCAGCAGTCCTCCCTCAGCCTGGATGGTTTGCTTACTCCCTCTTGTTTGAGCGTTGGGGGACTACACAGAGGCCTGCCGGGGCCACAGCACCTGGCCAGCTCATTTGGGGCAAGCTTTACATCTCACGCCTTTATAACCCGCAAACAGACACAGGAGTCGAGACTCAAAGGCGACCTGATTTGGTTTTCATCAGAGCACCCTGGGGAGCCAGGCTCGACATCTTTATCTCCGCAAGAAGTCTGGATATCTGCATTCTTCATCCAGCAGATTCTTCCCACCAGGCATTCCATCCAGATCTGGTCCCTTGCTTCCTAGTCTGTCCATGGGGATGGGAGGGGACACAATCCCATCCCAGATGCCCTTTACCTTTTTTCTTCTTCTCCTCCTCTTCTCCCTCACTGGCTCCCAAAAGGGTAAAGATGATTCCAGTCTGGGAGTTGATACCCACGGCAGTTACTACCATCCGGCCAGAACCTTCCATGACATGGGTCCCTATATGAGAAAGGAAAAGATGGAAGGAGTGCTGTTTTTTTATACCTAGCCAAGCTTTGGTGTGGAATACAAACTTAGAAAAAAACAGTCCCTCTTCCTTCTTCCCCCATGGATAATGATATACTCAGCAGATAGCAGGAAAAGGTCAAGAGCTGGGCCCATTTGAAATAGACGGACAAATTGGGGGGTAAGGAGAAAAATGTGTCTAACGGCTTGCTTTAGGGCAGAGCTCCTTCCCCCACTCCCACCGCTAACCAGCAGAGCCCTGTCAAGGCCCCTACAGCACTTGCTTCATAGAGAACCTCTTTTCGGTTGACTGATGACCTTGTACTCAGCCCACTAGTATGCTCCTGCCCCAAAAGAGCCCAGGAGAAGGAGATGGGGCAGGGCCAGAATAGAGGGCAAGGCCTGGAGCAGCCAGACACCATACCTGAGAGCAGCATTGGGTCTCTTTCCAGGGATTTCTTGACATGGTCTGATTCCCCAGTCAGAGAGCTCTCGTCAATCTTGAGGTCATTCCCCTGGATCAGGATCCCATCCGCAGGCAGCAGGTCACCTAGTGTGCAGAGGGAAGGGGCAACAGGGGAAGAGGGCAGGGAAGAGCTTGTCAGAGGGTGGGAACCAGCCAACCGCATCTCAGGGCGGCTCCCGCGGGCCCTACCTATAGGGCAATGGCCCAGGGGGTACCTGGAGAACCTCTGAAAGACGCCTTCATCTCTGACAAGACTCCTTATAAATTCAAACAATGATCCCTAAACGCCTTCCCATGGCCTCAACATTATGTGTTTTTAACCCTGAGATACACAGCGTACAGGTGTGACATTCTTTGGGGAGACTTTCTTCTTTCTTTGAATCCTTCTTAACAACCTCTTCCAGGGCGCCTGGGTGGCTCAGTTGGTTAAGCGACTGCTTAACCTGTTCGGCTCAGGTCATGATCCTGGAGTCCAGGGATCGAGTCCCGCATCGGGCTCCCTGCTCGGCGGGGAGCCTGCTTCTCCCTCTGACCCTCGTCCCTCTCGTGGTCTCTGTCTCTCATTCTCTCCCTCTCAAATAAATAAATAAAATCTTTAAAAAAAAAAAAACAACAAACCTCTTTCAACGAACCTAGAAGCTAATGCCATTTGGGGTCTTTCTGGGTCCTCAGTGACTCCCAGCCCCCCTGTGCCAAAGGACCCAGCCCTCAGATAGGGAGGATGACAGGGTACAAGAAGCACGAGCTCTCACCGTATTTGATTTGGGCGATGTCACCCACCACGATCTCAGCCACGGGCAGCTGGATGATGTGGCCATTTCGGATCACGGAGAACTTCTGTTCCTTTTCAATGCGGTTCTGCAGCCCCCGGAATTGCTTCTCCTTGCTCCAATCGTTGAAGGCAGTCACCAGCACCACGATGATCACGGAGAAGAGGATGGCTGCCCCCTCAATCCAGCCGGCTTCCGCCTCTCCTTCGTCTTCTGGGCTACTTACAGGTAGACCACACTCTAGCCCAGGGAAAGGACAGAACGTAAGGGTCACCCGGGGGCATCGGGAAACACTAAAAATGAGAGGAGTGCTTCCACAGCCCCCCAGGATGGAAAGTCAGGGAAAGAGAATCATAGAAAATACAACCCTTGGGCAGAGGAGCTATCCTCTGAGGATACTGGAGGACAGCTGGGTTGGGCATCGTGTCATCACCAATGTAAGTATTTACGTTAGCCCAAAAGAAGTTAATGAGTAAGTAGCACAAAGCACGTCGGTGCAAATTACTGGCCAGTCGCATGTATAGAACTTAGGATTCCCAACAAGGCCAGGCCCCCTGCTCCGGGCTCTAGGTCACTGCTACTTCCCATAATGCCAGATAATTGATGGGGGGCACTCTGAGAAGCAGGTTTTGGTGGCTGGGTGAGGGTAGGGAACCTCTGATATCCTGCATAAGGATGTGCTGGGAGAAGGGGAAGAAGACCCTGGAATCAGGATGGGCTGAAGAATGGCTGACTAGCTACTTGTTGGTTTTCTTTGGAGAACCAACCCTGGAGAGTGGGGTAAACTTTCAAGATACAAAGCTGTCCCCCACGAATACTGGTGCTTTGGGGTGGGGGTCAGAGTCACGCCGGGCTGCCCCAGACACTCACGTTTATTTTCCTCCCCAGGGGGACGGTAGAAAGACAAGACGAGGGAGATGATGGCCGCGATCTCCAGGATGATGAGGGTGACATCTTGGAGGGCTTCCCACACCAGTTCCAAGAAGGTCTTGGGCTTTTTGGGGGGGATGAAGTTCTGTCCAAACACTTGCTTACGTTTCTCCAGGTCCGCAGGGTTCCCAGACAGACCTGAAAAGGAGATACGAGCGGGAGGAGCAGGTAAGAAAAACAAGGAGGAGAAATGATGATGGGAGAAGGGGGTCCAAAGACACCTTTAAATAAAGACCCCCGTGCTTCCTGTTCTGCCCAAGGAGGAGGTCTAGTTAGGGCCAGAGGACTTCTTCACACTCGAGTCCGTGGGAGGCGCTCTCCCACTGGAGGGGCCCGGGGCGTGGCGTGCGGGCACACCTCCACTCCCCATCTCCACTCAACAGGACCCGAGGGTACTACCTTACGTGGCAAAGGGAGAGACTCGGGTCAGACCTAAGGAAGACATTTGGACAGAACAAGACTTTGAAAATGGGGAAGATGGGTCCCCAACGGGGTATTGCTTGCAGGGTCTGAGACGGCCTCCCTTTCTCCACCCAAAAAACAAAACCATCAGGGGAGGTCCTCAAGACCCTCACCTGTCTAGGAGGGTAGACGCAGGACCCGGCGTGGAGGGAAAGTGTGGGAGGGTGAACCTGCCTCCACACTTACACAGTCGAAGAAGGGAGACCCCTTTGGCCGGCCAGTGCTTCGGAGAGGGAGAACAGGAAGCCAGGCAGGGGAGCGGGGCTGATGTTCTTATCCAGGGCCTCCTGCCTCCTGGTGCCCACATGCACCGCCCTGGCCTCTGGCTGAGCGGTACAGCCACGCTCTGTGGGGGAGCGGGTTTGGCCAAAGAACTGGAAGCAAACTGGGCTGCTTCCCAGAGGCTCCCTGTCTCCAGCACTCTGGGAAATCAGGTTCCCAGTGGGAAGGGAGAGCAAGGGCCTGGGAAAGGGCATCTTGACCCCCGGGCGGGCAGAGGCAGAGGAGCCAGGGGGTCCTGGCTGGGTCCTTCTCCCTGAGGACCCGAGAGCTCGAGGCTGTGCCAGTTTGGGGCTGCTGTCCTGGAGGCCAGGTTGGCCTGTGGGAAATAGGAGTTCTGACCATTTGTTCATCTCCCTGGGATGTTTCTCAAGGAAGCAGCGAGGAGGTGCCATTCCCCCCCTGCCCCCCGCAGCAAGGTGGGTAGATGACTATGAGGGCAGAGCAGACAGCAGATAATAGAGATCATCTTAAGGGACATCCCAAGAGCCCAACGGAGGCCAAAACCAGAGCAGCTACGACAACGGTCTGACTAAAAGCCCCCAACTGAGGTCATCCTGCCCTCCCTCCCTGGTCTCAGATTAATAACCTGTGACCACTCTCGCCTCCTCTCTCTCTCCCTCTCTCCTCACTCTATCCATTCAGCCAGCACATCCTGGCAGCTTTATCTTCAAAGAATACCCAAGGTCCACTCAGGTCTCACTTTCCACTGCCACCGTCCTGGTCGGAGCGGGCATTCTCTCTCACCCGGGTGATGACAACTGTCCTCTAACTGGTAACCTTGCTCCCACCCTTGCTGTCCTGTGCCCAGTCTCCTCCCAACACAGTAGCCAGAATGATCTTTTTCCAAACCCCACCCCTGCCACTCACCGACTCAGAATCCTCTGCTGGCTTTTACTGGGAGTAAAACTGGGCCCCAAAGCCTTTATGATGGTCTATAAGGCCCCCTAAGAGCCCCCCGCCCCCCCCACTCCTTAACTCCTACTGTTTGCTCCTTGTTCGCTGCGCTCCAGCCCAGTGAGCCTTCCTGTCATTCCCTGAACGCGTTAGATAAGCTTCTATTTCAGGGCCCTGCACGAGCTCTTCCCTTGGCTCAGCTGGCTCCCCACTGGCTCGGGCTTATTCTCCTCCGTCCTTGGGCTCTCTGCACACACATCACCTTCTCAGTGAGGCCGACGCTGGCCATCCTATTTAGTAATGTGGCTTCTCTGCTCCAGGACCCTCGATCCCCTTGCCCTGTGTCATTGGTCCCCTCCACAGGCCTTCTCCCTAACACATTACATGATGTATTCACTTAAGATGTTTGTCTATTGCCCTCCACAAGGGCAGGACTTTTGTCTTTGTTCCTTAGGTCTACAGCAGGGCCAGGCACGTTGTACGCATACAAATGTGGTGAATGAACTGAATGGATGAGTAATAAATCAGGTTGCTAACATTTAAGCGATTACTATGTGCCAGATGCTTCAGCAGGAACACTCGTGTCTTCTCATTCAGACACCGCCAAACCCTATGTGGCGGCTACTGTGAACCCCACGTTTCATCGGGGCTGACTAAGGCCCAGAGAGGTTCGGCAACCACCTGGCTAGTCTGCGGCCGAGGCGACACCACTCCTCGGGAAGCAACGGGACACCAGGCTACACCCGAGGGGGCCGGGGTGTGGCATTGGCTGCACTCCACTGAGGCTTCCCTGTAGGGTGACTAACCAGTCCCAGTGTGCCTGGGACTTCCCGGGTTTGGGCACTGAGGCTCCGGCCCGCCCCCTCCCCCCCTCCGGAAACTGTAACACCCCTGGGTCCCAGGCCAACAGGATGGTCGGTCACCCTGCTTCCTTCAGGGCAGGGCAGCCCACGTGCTGCTTCTGTCTGTGCCTCGAAGCCCATCCGCCCTGTTCCCACTGTTCACACCTGGGCTGAATTAGTCCTGCCTTTTTCCCCGTCCTCAGAGGTGATGACACCAGGCCCGTCAGAGTCCAGCCTATGGATCTGGTGCTCAATAAAAGGTCCAGGAAGGCCTTTTCGGACCCAAGCAAGACAAATAAGACCCATTAAGGAAAGCGAAAAAGGTCAGGCTTTGCTCCGGCCTAGATGCTCTCAGAGTCACACACTTAACTTCCCTTTTGCCATTTTCTCTCATCTGTCTGCTCCACCTTAAGCGACCCTCAGCTCTTGCAGGGGCTGCCTTAAGACGGGCAAGTGGCGGTCCCAGTTCCCAGCGTGCCCTGGGGCAGGGAGGGGCTGGTGGGGGCTGTGAGCCTAGTAGCCTTGGGAATCCTCTCTGGACCCGTGGTTAGGGGGCACGGGAAAGCCATGTGGGACCCGGAGCTCAGCCAATCCCCAATTTTGGGCTTTCCATTCCAGTCTTCCTGCCCCCAGAGGCTCTCAGGCCTTGCTCCCTGCAGCCGTGATACCACAGAAATACCCGTCTAGCCAAGGAGAGGGCATTAGTCCCCGATCTCCGCAGTTGCTTTGCAAATACTCACACAGCTTCCCGGAGGGGGGAAGGAACACTTGGCAGGGAGAGAATGCTGGAAACGCAGGAAAAGGATTTCCCTTAGAAATACATTAAAAAAAAAGGAGAGAGGAATCTTTGTCCCCAAGAACATGAGCGAGAAAGCCCCACCCAAATCAGGAGTACTTTTGGCCCTAAGCACCAGACTGAACACATGAGCTGGGAGAGGCGACAAGAATGTCAGGCTGTGAAGTCATCATCCCCACCCCATGCTGGGGAGTTACATGGCCCCTGCCCAGGCTGGCTGGAGATGGAACAGGCAGCAGTGGAAAATCTGTGTGTGCTGAGAGCCTGTGCAGGGAACCAGCGCTGGGGAGGAGAGCCTGCAGCCCAGCCCTCAGTGGCCTGGCTCCAGCAGGGAAGGGCCACGGCTGCCCGCCTCCCTGGGACGCCAAGGGCTGTCGGCAGAGGCACCCCTTATGAGAACCAGCTCAGCCCCAGAAAGGGTGGGGTGAGGTTAGACATCACGGGGGACTTCCCAGCTGTCTGAGTTATGATACCTTGCCAAAGAGACAGCAGAATCTTCTCCCACACAGATAATGCAAGGGAGAGGTTTCTCTGGGTTGATTCGAAGGCAGTCCACTTTGGTATATGAGAACAGACATCGGAATACCTTTCAAGTCCAAAGAAAGGAAGAATGCCTTTCAGGTCCTACCGTAAACACCTTGGATTGGGGGCGAAGGGGAGGAGGAGCTTAAAATCAGCACAGGGACCACAGGCTTTAACCAAAGGCCACTTCTTGAGGAGGCAGAGCAGTTTCCTTACGTCAGCATCTCCAGCTTACGACACCCACAGCTCGGAGATGTGCTCTCAGTCTGCTGGACTTCCAGCCCCTAGGGATAAAGCCGTCTCCCCGGGGTCATGGCAAGAGGACGCTGGACTTCGGGAAGAATGGCCTCTACCGCATTCTCGGTTCAGAAAGGCAGCATGTCTCCCTTTGTCCGGCCCTCCACTCTATGCCCTTTCTGCAACCTCCAAAGCTGGAGCAGAGAAAGAAAGCTCCCTCGTCTGCCCTCCGCAGCCCTCCGCTGGCCACCTGCTCCCACACTGCATGTGCGTGCGCCCCTCCAGTGTCGTACTCTCCGGTGCTCACACCTCGGAGCTAAATAAAAAGAGCGAAAGCCCTACTTCCAAAGGTAGACACAACATCTGCCTCAGCCAAGGAGGGAGTGCTATCCTGCTTCCCAGCCCTAGCTGATGTTCGATGCAAGGCAATAAGAAAGTTCAAAACAACACAGAACTCGCAAGGGTTTCTGCTGAGCTCCCAAAGGATTGCAGCACAAAGGGCTCCTGGCAGGAAGACATATCCCGTCTCCCCATCAAGACTTCTCTGGCCCCTGCCTGGCAGCACTATGCCAGCTACCCCAGAAGCCCCGCTCTGGGCAAGGAAGGGCGGACTGGATTTCGCAGGGCAGGGGTTGGGCTGGGAAGAGAGGGAAGAGAGGGCCAGAGCTGTCACACGCTGTTGGCCTCATTCAGCCCTGGGCACATAACTCATATCAGACAGGGAACTCCCAGGATGCAACGTGGAATTCCCTGCAGGGGGAGGAGGAGCAGAGGGAGAGCGCTTTCACCCTCCTCTTTCTCCATCGCCTACCCTCCTCCTTCCAGCTGTTGATGTCGCTTCTCGTGCGTTTGGTAGGAAGCCTTTCCCACCCCTCTATAAAGTACTAAGTCTTTCTTTTATGAAGCTACTGGACTTGCCCTCATCTGCTCACATCACAACGTAGCTGCTTTCTGGCCGTTTGAGCTGGCCTGCCCACCTCCACCCTCTCCCTTCTTGCCAAGATATTCTTCTGGCTTGAGTCTCTCTCACATCTTAAAGTAGTGCCAATAGATCCCCCCCCAAGCGTGACGGGCAGAGTGGCCCAGACTGTTGGCCTCTGCAG